TCTTAGTTACGAACTGCGCTTTCATTTGCTTGGTGTCTTCTTTTCAGAATATCCACTGCTTTGCTTTCGATCTCATCCTCACATACAGAATACTGACGAAAAGCGATTACCCATGTGCATCACTGCGGATCCGAGCCCCTTACAAACAATATCGAAGCCATCACCTGGTAAAAGTGCCGCAACATTACCGTTTGGATCGTAATAAGTACTTTTACACCTTCAGATTTTGTTTTCACTGGAATGCACCAGCAACACATGTGGTAAACGCAACAGACATCGCGATATTCGAAAGACTTCCGAACTTTCGTCGTCGTGCTAAACGTTACAGAAAAATGATGAGTCGCCTTCCACGTTGGGACATTTTTTGGTTTTAGGTTTCTTGTGTATTTTCCATCCTATGGGTCTTGTAAACTTATGTCGTTTATCCCATCATACACGAATGAACTGGTAATCCTCTATTACTTTTAATGTTCAACTTTGTTGCGTCGGGGAATTCGCACAGAACGAACAAGTGATTTCTGATATGAAGTCTGTTACCCGTTTGTCTGGACTATTATTGACCTTAAATTGGTTGTTCACTATATTTCCAGTGGACAATCTTCGCCGGCCCATGGCTGAATTTTTCGTATGCACATTTAGGTTACGCTAGTCATGCCGTTTTGGGTTGCTTCGGTTGTTTGCTGCGGTCAACGTATTTGGTAGTGGTACTTCACTAAGTGCACGGGTAGCCAAAATCACACACGCTTTTTGCAGTGAAATGCACGTAACAATACGGTGGTAATGTGAGAAGACCAAAAAGCCTGTGTCTATGTTATACAGTAGTGCACAGTACTAATGTATATATTGTCTGGTAGTGTTGAAGAAGCTCTATCAAATGGTATCTCAGATGTAGAGATTAAATTCAAATGAGCTATATTACACACATTGGTCTTAGTGAATGGACTTCCAAAGACATCGTTTTTGGTATACTAGCATGTCATTGGACTTACTACTAAAATCTGGATCCCATTAAATAGAGCTAGGTGATCCGAATGTATTTCGCCTACTTCCGGAGGTGTGGTACAGAAATGTGATGGGATACGTCCAATTTTACACAGCACAAATTATGCGACCGGAACGCGGTGTGACCTGGTCTGTTTTGAGACGTGCTCACCTGCAAAGAACTACAGGCGGACACAGCAGCGACGTTTGCACAATTTAGTCACAGCGATCATGGGATGCCACTGTTCCACCACGTCAGCTAGGCGAAAAGTATCATGGGAAAAGGAGGAAGCACACATAGTTACCCATAGCGACCTACTCGGTGACCTTCTTCGTGCAACCACCTGGCATTTCTTAACCCAACAACCTCCCGAGGTCGCCTGGAGTGATTTTATCCCGCATTTCACCGGACTATCTACTTATGGATTAGAAAACAAAGGGCATTGGAGAAAGCAAAAGAAGTCCTTTTTGAACAGCTGTTCTTGAATGTGCCTAGCCTCACAGGATTTTGTCTGGCGTGTTAATAAAGTTTCTCCCAGCGTGCACATTCAAGGTGTCTAGATAACCGAACAAAACCAGTGCGTCAAAATGGGTTTGCTAAAACATATTTAAGCAACAACAAGATTTTGTAATGGATTACTGTAGTATACCTACAACGCATTATAGGTGGCTCAACAAACGCCGCAGAAAGCAGCGCAAACTCACAGTTTCATGCGCAGCATACCGTTAGGCGCCAACTGCCCCACAGGCAGCTGACGCTCTTGTGAAATTCTTTACCAGCTCTATCCAGATTGAATCCTCAACATACTCATATTTGTCACAGTACACGCTGCCCCGACCGAGGAAATCTGATGAATAACTGCTGTCGTTTCACGCGTACAAATCGCTTCGTGTGAACATATGACAGCCACTTCGAACATTACTAAGTCATTAGCTGGGTTCTTTAACGATGCTAGGAGGAGCAGTAGTTCCCAAAATGTAGAAACATGGGATACACATTCCTGTTTACAAAGGCATAGTCTTGCTGGACCCTCGAATTGTCGTCCAATCACTCTTATCCCGGTGCTATCCAAATGTATTGGAGAGATTGTCACAGAGGCTTTCATAGGTAAATTGAGAGTAACGTCGTAGGCTCACATCGGCATGAATTTCCCCGAAATCGGTCATGCACTACATACGTGCTGCTATCTCGAGCAAGCTGGAGGAATTTGTCGATGCCGTAATAAGGGTCGACGTTGCATACTTGCACTTAACAAAGCGTTCAGCCGTAAGGATTACCGCATTCCTCCTCTCAAGCATTGAATCTACGGAATGTGGGAAATTTTAGTAAGTTGCAAAAGCAGCTCCCTTATTCAACATCAGCGTCGACCGCCATTTCCGACTCAGCAGAAGTCCAATGTGGTGTACACCACATTTATTCTTAGTGCTCATTAACGGTAGTACTAGCGTACTTAAGTCAAATCTACTATCCGCAGGCGACGTCAAAATCTTACGTGACATCAATACGGTGTACGATCACACGGAACTTCAGAGCGATCGTGAGAGGTCCTGTACATGGCCTTCCCACTACTGGATCCAATTCAGTTGAATCTCGACGTATTTATGAATATGGACCTAGAAGTAGTTGTGCAGGTTGATACTGGCTGCCCGAAATGGGGCTGAAAACTAATCGAGAAGTGCTAACCAAAATCTTGGCCTGCTTACGGAGTACGTTCGAGAAGTTTGAGCCAGCTGTGTTTGTGAAAGCTACTCGCACTCTTGAAGCGTCAAGTGGAATACGCTATTCAAGTTTAGTATTCCTGTCGCAAAAGCGTTGTTGATGCACTTAAAACCGTACATGCGGTGACCAGATTAAAGAATTCACCTTCCATACCTGCCCAGACTGGAACTCTTGACTTGTACCCGACGAGTATGGTCGTCATGTGTTTCTATTACCGGCATATCGCGAGCTGGTACACTTCATCCGCATCATTAATGTAGAACACCAACTCCTATTTGAGACGCTGCAGGGTTGACTTGACTGACAATAAAACACACCTCATTTTCCTCCTCTACTAATAACTTTCATTAGGAACGTGGCGATACGCTGTCCCATTGGTTTATGAGATGTAGTCTTTTCTACTCGGAGGAGGAAATAAAGCCATCCAAGCTATGTGCTCCATAGCCCACTCTTTAACATGGCAGTAACTAAACCTGCATTGGTGTTCTCGGGAACCTATTGATGAGAATGTAAAACACGAACTTCACTTTTTCCTGTCATTTGAAAATTGCTTTCCTATCCCTCACAAATCTATTCTGCGGACTTGTAAAGCACTCGCTTTCTTATCAAGGATAAATCATTGTTGCAAAATTGTCGAAGTGTCCATCTAAAAATTTCAGCTAATTGCAAATAGTAGCTTTAGATAAGTGTATGTGTACAATACCAAAACGATGTATTTCAATAGTTAACCCGCGTTTCTTTACCAAGACTGAATTGATCCTGACTATAATGACCTACCTCAAGCTAATCACTCATAATTCGCTTATGCAGCTTACTGTTCACTATAGCCTAATCCACGCCTGACGTTGGCGGTGGCAGTTAACGACATTCGGCGCCAAGTCGGTCGAGCACAGGAGATTCACCACTGCATATGTTTCCAAATAATTGCTCCATGAGCGGATCCACTAAAATGTAGACTGCGACGGATTTTCTAAACTGCAGTCTAGTGCTTTACGGGGCATGTGTACGAGTGATTTGGAAGCTGGTGTGACGAACTCACAATGAATTCCTAAACCTCCTTAACTGACACAAACTCAGACAAATCGTTTACAACTTTCCTTAGCCTATTATGCTCTTTTTACAAGCATTGCTAAGCAAGTTAAATTCAAACTCTTTCTTGGATCTAAGTTGATATAATTTTACCCAGGTGACTTAATTAACGCTTCAAAACGATTACTCTACTTCGTAAATGGCCAGCTGTATTATTTACTGTTTTGCAAAGATTGGTAACTTCCTCAGTTATTGCAACTTGAGCTGAACCAACAGAATAAAACTGCCCTAAGTGCTCTTCTATGCTTCAGAATAATTAACATATCCATCGACCAAGTAAGAGCATGCATATGCTGCAGTGTTATTATTACCTTATTATATATTAATGAAGACAGAAATCATCAGAAAATAACCACTGTTATCAAAGGCTAGGCTCCCAATTGACAGTGAAAAAAGTTACTTTGAATTTTTCAGCTATAAGTTTGAAACAACATTTCTTTGTGGACTGATGAGTCGCTCATTATTAGTGAGTATTATGAAGCAGATCTAAATAGCCATGTGATAGTTCCTAGGTGTGTTAATACTGGCATACGTTGACTCTGCAGTTTCACGCAACTGGGTTGGTTTATTTGTGATAAGCAAATATTATCTGCAGCTGTTCAAACTATTCAAGTTTTAGAAATTGTACTAATTCGTAGTCTAAAAATGCCAGTATTTCCTAAGAGTCATGATAATTTACTGGGTTTCAAGAATAGCAAATGTTTTGGATGCTTATTAAGCCTCTTACAACGCATTCAATTTACAGTTCGGTTCAAATATTTTGTTCTTCCTGCTGAAGAAGCTAGTACAATAAGTTACACATTTTAATGCTCGACGCGCTGCGCATATCATGGCTACCTCAGTGAGACTGCGTTAGTGTGATTTTGCGCTCTACAGTAATATTTTTGGTTGGTGTAAGCAGGTTTATGAATTGTCATAATACTGCGGAAATGTGTACTTCCTCGAAGCATCAGCTTAAGGACGGAAGGCATGCTTCAATAACAGGCGAAAATGATCGAAGTTTCACTTCTGCTTATCTGTTAAAATGAATGTACATGGCTATGACTAGATCAGCTGCTAAAACATGTGGCAAAGTTGACTGATAGTATGTTTTTATAATGACAATGAACTTGATGCTAGGTCTAAGGACGAAAAATTTAGGTTGTAGTTGGTATGACATATAACAACAACTTGAATCCCAGTTCTACTACCATCATTGATTACAACTCACCTTTAAAAATTTATTAGGTACTGCGTTCAGGATGCACGATGTACAAACCAAGAGGAGGCTCATTATCCAAATGTTTCCAAGGTTTAAAGAAGTCTTTAACCAAAATATCCGGATTGCTGAAAAAAACAGCGTTGCGATTAGTAGGGTAACTTTCCAATTTGTACCCTGTTTCGTGTAAGCAATTTAATCTCATTTCAAAAGAAATGATAGACCTCAGTTTACTAGTGCAATTAGTACAATTAGTCTTTGCGGTTATCAAAACAGCAAACACGCTTCATACGTTGTCCAACGGGATGACCTATGGTAAATCGTAAAACAATTTACCATTGAGGCTATCTGCGTGTCAGATATTTATAGCATTGTGGAAGCAACAGATCCTAATGAAATGTCTGCTATGATAACACAAGGATTTAGCAAACTGGAATCAATCGACTTCAAGAATTTTACAATCTTAAGATAAGTCTGCGTTTACATAAGTGAAAGATCTTGTAACCGTTACTTAAATCATTATATCTATTTGCTTCCATGTGCATACTTAATTTATCTTGCCAGATATACGTTGCTCAGTAAAAATTGAAATATATTGCTAAAGTAGAGTATATGTGGCGCATTTAATGCTCATTAAGCGCAGAATTGGGACACAAATCTGGAAATTTATCAGTAAAACAAAATTTGAAACCACCTTTACACCCCCTATTTCATACACCGTTACATCAAGTATGGAAAAATGAAGGGTTCGGTAATATACTAGAAAAGTGTCATCTGATGGGTAGGTTAAATCCGTTTATACTGGCAGTCCCTGTTTGACATATTATAGTAACATGCGACCTCAGAATAAAGCCGGCAGCATGTCATAAAAATATCGCTTGACATGTACTTATTGCACATTCTCACGGTACTTTTTAGTATAAAAAGGTAGAACAAAGTTGTTCGGCAGTATTTTATTGTCCGTACGCAGGTGGCTTGAAGCTAAGTACATGTAAGTTAATTTTCTTAAGCATAATTGATGCTTTTGTATTGCACCTACCAAATATCCCATCTGAGCGCACTTTTTATTTTGGATATTTATCGTAAATCTCTCTTGCAACTCTGTTTTGCTTCTCGCTGTTATCCTACCAACGGACGTTGGTGGCTGTTTGACTTTGTCATGTGATGCTCATTTTACTGATGTATGGCTGCCCATTTGCATTGCAAGCTTGCGATTAATATTTTTCGTAACACACTTTTGCTGACTAGCACTGTTTTCCCTCTGTGCTAGACTGCCGTATTGTTCCACTTATTTGTCGGAATTAATTTTTAAGTAATTTTCTAATCCATCGGCTGATCTTATTGATTCCGGACCATTGCTCATCACACTGATGTGTGATTTCTTTAGCTCATCAAATTTAGTCAAATAATTAGGAAACATTTACTGGCAATTCAGCGTACAATTACTCCAATATGAACTGATAAATTCTCAATAGCAAAATTCCGAACATTTCCTTCAGCTTCTATTGAAATCTATTGGCGAAAAATAGTGGCTGTGTTCGTAAAATACATAAGATTTTATCCCTTCTGAATTCAAATGGAGTATTTTTACTATCTATTTCTTTGTTTGAATCCAACTTAACTCCTCAGGGCGTGGTATACAAACGCGACGTTTTTGTAGACCCCGGTTTCATTTGTTAAAAACTAAGGTACGCTAGGTGTGAATTTTAAAGTGTTTCGATAAACAAACTTCGACTCATACAATTCCAAGCACCAACTTGTTTCACGAACAATTATAACGATAATTGGAAGTAGGCAAATAATTTGCTTACCTAAACAAATGAATGGACACAAAGATAGTTGTAAAGCTCGAACGACCCTCTTCAATTTTCGATTGCTCAAATCCATAGAAAAAATGAACACTTGGGGAAAGAGTGAAAGAGTGCAAAGTATAGTAGCTAAATTTGTTACACTGTCACAATTTGAGAAATTTTATAATTAGGAGGACGACAAACTTTCCAAATGACAGTAACTAGTCCACTGTCCACAAATGTACACATAAATGCGAGGGCACCACCGTGTTATATAATTTAGACAGCCAAATTTACATAGTGGAGGCAGTCCTCCGATTAATAGTGATCTAATTTGTATGTGTAACAATTTCCAAATGCAAAAACAATTTCCGTGTAGCAGTTTATCTGCATAGCTCTATCAACAATAGGGACATTTCCAAGCAATTGATATTTTCAACATGAAATCCTAGTGTAACAACAGATTCTACTAAAATCAGCGCTGATCTATCTGCTTCCTTTGCTTTCTAACTTTTTTATTGGAGACTAGATGTAGGCGCTTGAAAATACATGAATATTGCCTTGTAATATGCCTGTTATTTTGTGATTCCAAGACGTCTGAGAGGTAGGCAGGTTCTTTGAATTTTTGTTTTAACATAAAAGACGACAAGTTTCAGCTCAAGAAAACACCAGTCTTTACATCGAGCGATGCATTTGGTTGCACTTTCTTAAGCTGTGAATAGTAACAAGGTTTGGCAACGTCGTTTCAGCCATATCTGTCTCTATTGCGTGGACGTATGCGGCGAGATTTTAACGCACCGTCGTTTTGCACTCCGGGTGGTAAGGAACACCTGATCAAAAAGTATCGGTTTGGGAGCATTCTGATTGTAAACACTACAAATAAACTTTTTCCTCCCCCTTCTGACATCATTCTAATTTGAACGTCCGCTCCGGATTATTAAACTAGTCACTTTTAACTTTCATTTCAGGGATGAGCAATGAATGCTAGCGTTAGTTACCCATACGCAGCTCTGCAATTATTTGTGGACATGTTGTGGGTATTTAGAGTCTTACGGACGTGTCTTCTTAATTTAAACAAAAATCCTGTCTATTATACTGCAGTCGACAGTTCGATACCTAACACATAAATCTAAGATAATTTCACGAAAGGCAATTCAACATGCTATACACTTTTAAACTTATATAATGCATTGACTAACTATACTAGTATGGTAGCATTCTACCATTTTCATGATTTTGATAGCGGCTGAATGAAACTCGGGTGTGCGATCTCACATGACACTATCATTTTAATCGTTATCCATAAGTTTCGTCCAGCCAAACCTCGAGCTAAGAGAGAAAAGTTATTAAAATATAAGGGTGAGTAAAGTGTTTCTCATTTAATGCTCACCGAAACTCTTGGGCCAAATGTACTTTTGAGTAAACATATTCAGATTTTCTGCACCTGGCTATTGCTGGCGTAAATTGTTAAGCTTGTACGTGCATTACTACAAAATATCTCATTATTAGCGTATTTGTAGGCATCGTTTCCTTAGAAACAACTGCACGGGCTGAGGCTTCATCGCCTATAATTTATGCATAAAACAGTCCTAAAAAAGGCATTTGGTACCTAGTTCTTATGACCTATTTACTATCTTGCCACAAGGCACAGAGCCGATTGGTGAATGGGAGTGCGGGTGAAACCCATCGTGGGAATACCCTGCATGGAAGCAAGTCCTCTGGGGACAGTTCAATGGATGACCGTATTACTTTACTTGAACATTCCGTGAAATATACTTTATTAATGTTCCCAGTTTCATTATCTCTTTACGTTTTCCAAACTGCTAATCAATTCAAAAACCATATGGGAACCGTTGATCAAAAGACGAATAATTAACTATATTATGCGATCACGTTGTACATGTTGATAAGACCACTCAATTGGTCTGTGCATCGCACTACTGAGCAATAAAACGTTTATTTATTTATTATCGTATGGTGAGTGATCATGACATAATTTTGATTGACTCGATGGGGAATTTAAGCTTTGCTTTAGAGTGCAGGCTGAGTGACTGGATTTCAACACGCAATCTCTACTGAGACCTGGTTTATGGGGTATCAGAGTTGGGAGAAGCAACGCAGAACCACCTCCAGTTCGGTAACGGTCCTTGTGATCGTAATGACCGAGGTCTACTTCAAAGTGAACCGAGGTCTGAATAAAGATTGCGTGTCGCAATCCAACCACACAGCTGGTACACCAAGTGCAACTTTGAATTTCTTACCGCTGTGCCAAGCGTTGCTCACGGATCTTAGAGCCTTAGTGATCAAGGCATCAGCCTTTAACCACTAGGCCTCCATCTCCATCTGGTTATTCCAAACGAGAATGAAACCGGTTATGAGGTGTAATTGTTAGCATGCGCTCCATCAAAACACTTCCATTCCGAATGCGGTCCTTGTGACCTAAATGATCGGGGTTTTCTGCAAAGTGAACCGAAGTCTCAGTGGGGGTTGGGTGTCGCAACGCAGCCACTGAAGTCAATTTCAAATATCATGTGTTTTGGCGTACAAATCAGACAACAAATACTCAATGACTTCGTAAGCTTCATTAATTTGTTAGCCGCTTTGCGTAATGATATATATGCTGCTTGTATCGAAGTTGGCAAATGTCAGTGTGTTCATTTCCACTCTATTTATTTCTTCAAAATTCGTTTCATGAACTGTTCTTGGAATAAGAAGGGAACATCGCTAAGCGAATCTCATTTTGAGGTAACTAAAATCATGCGGTTAGATAACAATTTCCTTCTTGGTGGAAAATTAAATATACGTAATAGCGGCTGAGTATTTACTAAGTAAACCGCGGGATCACCATTGAAAAATTTGCATATGATCAGAGGAACCAGATTCTTACCTAAAAGTGAGGCACCGAGTGCAGAAAAATACTTCCATGGTACAAATTTCCATAAAATCGGTTCATAGGACATAATAATTGACGTAAATACAAAGATGGGCCATAGTGCGAGCAAATTGAACAAACCTAAAAGCAAAAGAATGATATCGTTTAATACGCATGCATGTCACATCTGTAATTGTAAGCAAAATGGCATATTAGTGGCAGCGGTCAATTGCTTGGAAAACAAATGCATCTTCCAGAATATATACTGATATGAAGGGCAAACGCACTGTTTGATCCAGAAAGAAATATCACAGTTGTGAATATTACAACAATGTCCTAATAGCATGTTAAATGATGGCTTTAGGATTCACCGCTTTGTATTAGGTTGGTTAAATAATTGCTTAATTCAGCAAGCCTGGTTATAAATAACAGATCAGGTACACTACATTTCTGTCTAGCTTTATGACAGAAGTACTGTAATAAATAATAATATCGTCTTTTGCGTAATAGATTGGTCATATACTAATTGAGTCACTCGTAATACAGGTATCCCTCATCCAGATGAGAGTACATTCAGGTTCAAATTTTGCATAATAACCATTAATTGCCATTGGAAATCAACGGCAGTCGCAGCCGCCTATGAGTCAGGCGTGGACATGGTTCCAGAGCTATCGATTCCTGCATCGCATCGCATTTAATTCTAGAATGACATTAATAGATGTTTAAAATCACAATCTTTTTATCAGTAAAGCAATAAGGATTTATTCAAACTGATAAAGTTTCAATTGCCAAGTTTGCATTTGATCGCTAAAAGAGATCTTCAATCCCGTCTAAACTTGCATTGTATTTAGCAGGTGGTTAAGATTTGTTCGATGTTCGTAGGCCGTTGCAAAGGCTGAACCATTCTAAGGTCTCTGGGCCTGATTTAATTCACCCGAAACCGTTGCATGCGTTGGCTGCGGAACTAAGTGGACTGCTCGCCATGGTGTTTCAGAAATCGCTTGATAGCTGTGCATTGCCTTCCTAATGGAAGGAAGATGTCATCTGTCCCATCTTCAAAAATGGGGACAGGGGTTTGCCTGCAAATTATGGGCCAGTTAGCCTCACGAGTGTCGTAGTCAAACTCCTCGAGAAACTGGTGAGACATTCATTGGAGAGTCATCTGAGTAGATTTAATCTACTTAGCAACGTGCAACACGGATTCCGGAAGGGATTTTCGTGTCTGACGAATCTACTGGTGGCTCGCGAAAGTTGGGCGGATGCAGTGCATAAAGGCCAAACGCTGGACGTGCTTTCCGTCGACTTTTCGAAGGCATTTGCCAAGGTACTCCATTTGAGGCTCGCGCAAAAGTTGTCCTCCCATGGGGTATCTGGCCGCGCCCTTAATTGGGTGACTGCCTTCTTGGAGGATAGAGAACAGTGTGTACTGGTAGGCCGGGCCTATCGTTTAGGCAGTCTCTCCTCAGTGGTTTGCCGCAGGGCTCGGTCCTTGGACCGCTGATATTCTCTATATATGTGAATGACCTACCCGAGGAGCCTGAGGTACCATCGCTGCTATTTGTTGATGACCTGAAGCTGTGGAACATTGTCGATGTTCCTGGGGGTTCCGAAACTATTCAGCGAGTCTTGGATAAGCTTTGAGAGTGGTCTACTTTAAGGTTACTGCCCATAAAGCAGGCAAAGTGCTCCGTTCTTCGGATTGGAGGAGGTTGTCCTCCTAAGAAGTACTTAGTCGGTGGGGTTGAACTCCCCCGTATATCTAGCCAGGTTGACCTAGGAGTCCTACACTCTTCGGCTTTACACTCCGGCGACAACTGGAAGAAGGCCGCAAGCAGAGGTTTCCGCATGCTGAGGTTAATACGACGTTCTTTCTGAATCTTGGCGGGCGGCATCTTTACGAGACTGTTCTCGGCTTTCGTTCGGCCTCATCTGGAATACTGCGTCCAGGCTTGTCCGCCCTGCCTCGTCAGGGACAAAATGGAGCTAGAGAGGGTTTTACGAGTGGGTACTATGTCAGTCTAGGGATTACGGGGACGGACGTACCCCGAGCGTCTACTTAGATTGGGAATGCATTCAATGCGCTACCGAAAGCTTAGATCATTGGATTATTGGATGATAGTGAACAGAAGGAAGACCCTTTGTCAGCTCCTTCACTTCCTGATTATTGTGGAGATGGCGTGGGTCATTGCGGCAGAGGGTTCCGCAGTGCACCCCTGTAGCTGTCTTAGGGGCAGCAGAATCCCAGCGCGCTCAGGTGAGAATCTAACAGTTGTTTGAAACCTTCCTCTGTCTCAGCATCAACAACAGGATCCGGCAACCGGTTCCAATCATTCACCACGCGAGTTGGTAAGGCGAATTTGAGCCGCACACGGAGATTCCTCGGTTTGAACAGTTTTATGCGGTGGCCTTGTGTTGAACTCTCAGTGTTGAGTTGAAAGAAGTCCTGTAACTCGCAACCCAGTTCCCCACTGAGAATACGTCGAGTGAATATCAAATCTCCTCGGTGACGGCGGTAACCTAGAGAGAACAAGTTCAGTCGTTGAAGTCGGTGTGGATATGACAGGTCTCGTAACTCAATGATAGATTTGGATCCACGCCATTGAACCTTCTCTATCATATCACATCGGGATTTGGTGAGAGGGTGGACAGCGGGTAGCCCGTAATCGAAAATCCGGCGTACACGCGAGCCAAAGAGGAGTCGGAAAAGTCCCGGGGTCAGGAGAGAAAACGCTCTACGTATAGAATGGAACATCCTGTAGGCCGCGGCGACCCTCTTCTGGGTGTCTTGAATAGATTTGAGGTCTGATGACGCAACGAGACTGGACCTTAACGTGGTACGACGGTTTGCGTACCTCATTGACCCATTGAGCTATACTGGGTGATGCCTACGAGCATCTTGAGAGCTACTCCTACCAGGTTGGTCAATGGTGAGAGGTCAGACAAACCCAGTCTCCTGGTCCTCCAAGTTGGGGATTTGAAATGGGATGGCGTCCATTTCGGTAAAACTAAATCATTGCCACCTCCCCGCTGCCTTGCGGACAGGCTTTTGAGCCAAAGGCTTTGGATGAGGACCCTAATCGTCCTCCTGTCTAGGTCTGGGCGCCCTGACTGTATGTCAGCCCACAAACAACCATGACATTTTCTTCAAACATAAACTTCATCCTGCATCGGCCGTCGTGCAGATTATCAAGGGTCGCCTTATCTGCTGCATACAACAGAGCGGATAAGAGAAACCATGCTAATGCTGGTGCCTCCCTTCTTTCTTTTACTTCTTTTTCCCTTACTCCCATCCCGACCCCCATTACTAACCTTCCTTCTATTATTCCTAGCTTAATTGACAGCAACCGAAGTGCCACTGGAGTAGAACAGTCTGCAGCCACCATCCCACAGCACCTATCGGACGCCTATCGACAAAAGTCCCTTCTAAGGCCACGCTATCCCTTTTCCATGGCGACATTCAACGTCCGCACTCTAAGACACATAAGTCAACAGGCTGCATTCGCACGCTCTATGGACACACTGGGTTTGTTGTGTGTTGTGTGTCCGAAACTAGCATCAATGACCCTAACGAAGTTATTGAATTGACTGCACCCGGCTTATCCTCTCGTTATTGTTTACACGCATCTGCAGACGCCGATGCAGCATTCACGGGTCAAGCTGGTGTAGGTATTATTCTAAGCTCCAAGACTGAGCCATCGTTAGTTGATTGGATTCCGGTGAACAGCCGTTTATGTGCAGCCCGTCTGACGACATCAGCTAAGGTTGATTCAAGAAGTAGTAAAAAACGCTGTTTGTACGTGATTTCCGCTTATGCTCCCACCGACTGCAGTTCCAATGCTGTCAAGGACACTTTCTAACACGAACTGAACACGCTGCTACGCAGTGCTACTAGTTCAGATATTCTAGTACTTGCAGGGGATATGAACGCACAAGTAGGGCGTCTGAGCCCTTCAGAAGCTCAGCTGGGTGGTAATTGTGGGCTTAACTCCGAACGGACTGATAACGGTGAGCGTCTGTTGAAAATGTGTGCGGAGCACCAGTTGTTTCTTACTAGCACTGCTTTTAGACAAAGTGGGCGCCGAAGTGCCACTTGGACTCCTCCTGTGGCTGGCCAGCGATGGACCCAAATTGACCACATAGCCATAATTTACAGGTGGCGTGGTTCCATTCTGGATTACCGCTCGTACTGGAGTACCTGTGTCGACTCTGATCATGCCTTGATACGCTGTCGTTTCTCCATGAACTCTACCGGGAGGCGCACTAAGCGTCTCCTAATGGCAACAGAGAAATTGTCTCAGTCTTCGGTCAGGCAAGCCTATCAAGAATCACTGTATACCGAATTTCCGCCGTCTTGTCCTAATGACACTGAGCTTCAGTGGAATAAGATATCGGCCGACATGCACGACGCAGCAGCATCCGCTTGTGGAACTATCCATCGTCACCGCACCAGTAACTGGATATCCGAGAGGTTGGTGAACCTGTTGGAATCTAGAAGACATCTCCCGGCTGGCTCTGAACACAATGTGACAAGACGGGCTATTAGGAGTGAACCAAAGCAGAGCCTACGGGCTGACAAGGAAGCCTGGTGGACCAGTAGGGCTCAAGAAATGGAGGAGGCAGGAGCAGTAGGCAATTACCGCAAGCACTTCCAGCTAATCCGCATCACTGGTCCCAGAAAACCAGGCGTCAGTGAGATAATCAGAGACAGCGTGGGTGCACTGCAACACAATAAGGAACGCCGTATGGCTGGTTGTACGGAACACTTTCGAGTTCATTTCAGCGGGCCCCTTACTCCCGGACCTCTTCCTTCTCAGGTGATGTAGGACGAGCCATGGACCGTTAGATTAGAGCCTCCGTCGGAAGCCGAGGTCCGAAACGCGATCACAGCCCTCAATCGTTTTCGTGCCGCTGGCCCGGATTCCCTCCCACCTGCACTATTTAAGGATGGAGGTGAGGTCTTCTGCAAAGCACTGACCTCCTTATTTGTATGTATCTGGAAGGAAGAGAGTGTCCCGGCTAATTGGAGCGAATCGTTCATAGTGGCAATATACAAGAAGGGTAGTCGCACAGACTGTTCTAACCACAGGGGTATTAGCCTAACGCCAGTTGTGACAAAATTATTGGCGTCAATTATCTTTCGT